AGAGAGAGAGAGAGAGATGCATGTGCAGAGGAAAGCTCTTATCTGTGGAGACTGGAGATGTCAGTTTTCTTTGACTGTCTGCTGCTTATTCTCCCTGAGACAACGTCCATTTTGGAATTAAAGAAAATCATCCTGAAGTTTACAGTCACTGCCTCTTAAATGCAGAGGATCTAGTATTGGATATCTGCTCTCATTGAGCAGCTGCATAGTGTATTATGTTATTATTTTGTAGGTGAAAATGATTTTTTTACATGTGGGATATCTGATTTTAGAGATGAACATGGCCTTCAGTGTGGGATAAACTGACTTTTCAAAAATGAAATGTCACAGGTTTCTTCCTAGAATCTATTGATCTACATCAGCAGTGATGCTCTTCTCCAGCTTTTCTGCTTAAAAAGTGTAGATTTCCTTTATTTTTATAGCATAAATCTGTTTTTTTTACAGTGATCCTGATTCAAAATAGAACCACAATTGATGAAATCACTAAAATGCAGAAAACTTAAGCATTCATAGTGTTCAAAAACACTTTTTCTTCCAATTTGCAGGCTTTTACTCAAAGCATTTGGAGTCTTGTGTCCCATTATGAATCATTGGAGTAAATATCAAAGAAGTCTATTTGGAAAACAACCCTTATTTGGGATAAGAAGATTGCACTGTGTCTGTGTGAGCACAAGGATTATGCCTTGCCCCACACTTTGAAACCCCCCTCTTCCCTCACAGCACAGAGATGTTCTTGGCAAAGCGATCCTTGTGTCCATTGTAGCAACATGAAGATGCCACCGAACCCTCCTGAATACATGAATTATGAGTTGTGGCTGTCCTTAAAAGCTCCGTCTCCAGCCGAAGCCCGTCGTTTGAGCAATCCCCTCTGTATTCCAGGCACAATTTAGAATTTTAAGCTTTTATGGGGGCTGATGGCGAGATAGGCGGTCGTTGTAGTCGGCCCCTAAATGGCTCCCTGAGATGCAATGGCAAGAATGATGACTGTGTCCCCTGTTGGTGTCTGTGAGGCATGATTCAGGCGCTTATATGGGGATGGGGAGTAGAAAAGGAGAAAAGTGTTTGGAGGTCTACATTTGAGGCTGCTATTTGTTCCATTATTGAACCAAATGGTGCCAAACTGAACTGTGCTGTCTTGCTTCTAAATCCCAGTACAGTTGGTTGTTCAGAGTTGGAACAAACAGCAGGGCTGAGCTGGATTTGGAACAAGCAGAGCTGGTCATAACTAACTCATTATATGTGGAACCCAGTTCTACTCAAAGCAAAGTGCACATGTGTTATTTTGCATCTTTATACCAACAGAAATTGCTTGTTATCTTGGCTGCAATTTCCAGTGCTAGTTATGCTCTTTTGTAAACTGGCATTCGCTCTGATAAAGCCTGATTTGGCTTCACTGTCAAATCTTTATCAGTGTCTTAGGGAGCATTCAGATGCTAAAATATAAAAGACAAAACATCTGGATTGAAATTCAGGCCTATATGATAGATTGTTCATCTGCCTTCAGGCTCTGCCCTCATCCACCACACTTGACCCTGATGGGTAGACTGTAACAGGACACCACAAATGGCTGTCTGTCATTGACCTCAGCACACACTCTATACCCTCCAACACATATATTATCCCTTAGGGGTTCAACAAACACACACACACACAAAAAACTGAGTGACTGATGCCTACTCAAGCGAAATGTCTGCATATAGCTGCACGGTGCATTATGGGCTTCTATATGTGGATGTGAACAGATTGCACTTGGCTTCTATTTTTCTAAATATGGAAGGAGTAGCAGGGCACTCCGGCGCGACCTCCATACTCCGCCCGCGTGCTCAGATGCATGCACTTACAGTACATCCATGTCTTGCTCTTGTGACTCCATAACACGCACATTTCCCAGGCAGCGGCAGCAGAAGCTCCATCTGAGGGGGGTTGGTGGGGGGGGCGATGAGGAGCGTAGAGGTTGAGGAAGTTGCCGAGCACACACATTCTCTCCACCGCAGGGTTTCGCATTTCACAGTACGGTGGGCTCGAATGCCCCCTCAGGAGCGGCGTAGACTTGCAGAGAGACAGTCGGAAAAGAGGAGGGTGCAGAGGCATGTTGTCCTGAGAAACAGGGGGGAAAAGTAAGGATGCAGATAAATGGAGTTTGTCTGTATTTTGGCTGAGGCCTCTGAGGAAAAAGTTTCTCCTTTCTGGGTTGTTAAATTTTCGGTTAGCATGGTGACCCCTCTCTCAGCCACTATACAAATCATGATGAGGATGGAAAGAAGAATAAGAAGAAGAAACAAAGAAAGATAAAGCAGAGAATCTGAAAACTGTAAATATCCATATTCATCCATACGCTGCTGTGTCCATGTCTGCGTACGTGCACGCTTGTGCGTATGTGTCTCAGTATGTTATGTAATCCTCAGTAGGCCACAGCTGCTTTCTCACACACAGCAGGCATGCTGGGGAGCGCAGCCAACCGGCCCCCTCCTTCCTGTCTCCGTCTTCCTCCATCCCTTGTTCCTCCATTCTCTCTTTCTCTCCCTCTCTTTTTTCCTGCTTTCCTCTTATAGAATTAGCACAGTATGGATTTTTGATCTCTGCAGGGCTGTTGTGTAAGCTCAGGACTTGTGTGTTTTCCCCACGCCGTACACTGCTCAGTTCTATTGTAGAACAGTTGCTGCCAGGTAACAGTGTTCCCCAAGTCACTTTTCTTTGCTTTGCAGAGCACCTGCAATGGGAATGAATGAGTTTAGGTGTCTGAATCATGTATTTCCTGTCAAGGTAGGAAGCTAAAATAAACCAACCCATGAAAACACACACCTCATATCTTCTCTGTGACCTTTTACTCACTGCTGTTTGATTTAATTTTATGCAAATTAAAATTAAATCAATCCTGTAACAGGCACAGTTCAGTATCCTGCGAGCAGGAGGAGGAAGGACAAACTGGGACTTAATCTTATTTGTCTCAAAAGAGCTTCTGCTAGTGTCTTCGCGCCACGCCTGTGGCTTTATTAAAATGTCACATCAACTGTAAGTATGAAACGTGGAATTCCTGAAATCAAGTTTGGAAGATCTCCAAAGAAAAATGTAGTTAATTCCCATTTAGTTTAACTGACGTCTGGGCCCGATTGCACAAAGCCTCTCAAAATGTGATGGAAGGCAGAGAAGTAGCATTGCGGTATCACCCCAGACGGGACAGCAGAGTTGTCCCTAATAGTTTGTTTTACTCGTATAATACAGCAGTCTTTACAGCTGCAGTTAATTTCCAGACATCCTCAAAGTATGAGTGTGAATATGAAATTGATTTCTTGCAGCCTTGTTTTGCTTGCCTCTAACCCGATGGTCAGAAGATCTTGACGATGGATGCCAAGTAGAATCTATTTGACATGGCCCGTGACGCACTGAGACATGAAAGGAAGCCTTTGTACGGCGATGCACAATGCAGCA